TGAAAAAAATAAATACAGTGAGCAAGTATTACACAAGGGCCTCCTGGAACTGTTTACTTATAAGCTGACTCCAAGCCTGACCCCTGTTATCCTCTGAACTTGGAAGTAAAATCCAGAATAAACCGCACAGCCTGCTGCTACAGTTACTGCTCCAGACAACTGACCAGAGGTAACCAATAAAAAACAAGGAGAGAAAGAAGCAGTGCTGACCACTCTCTTTGTAAGTCCACCACAAGTAAGGCAGTTAAGACCACTCAGCGGCCAGCATGTAAGTACAAATGGTAACACACACAAGAGGATGATTGAACAAAAAAAGGACTGGCAAAAAGAGAGTTCGTATTTCAGAACAATCCTCTCTCTAGGTATCAGGTAACATGCCCTGATACACAGAAGCATATTTATCTCATTTTATTCCTCATAAAATCATAGGTGATAGATGCCATTACATATTTTATTATACGGACAGATGACATTATAGGACAGATGAAGACACTCAAGCCTAGAACAAAGGGACATGTCCAAGGATACAGAAATGGAGAGCAACAGGGCCAGGTTTTGACCCAAGTTTTACAGACGCTGAAGTCCATACTCCCCCGGGACTCGTGGGCAGGAACATGTTAGCTGTGAAGAAAGGGAAAGAAGACTCCCAGGCCACAGAAATTGCCAAGCACAATAGAAGGGAGCAATGAATAATGCATTAATGATATCAGACCTTTAAACACTGGCTTTTTTGTTAAAACAATGAACACTGCACATGATCTGAGTAAGGAAACGAGCTTTACCTTGTAAAGGTAAAGAGGTAAAAAAAAGGTAAAAAGTTAAGATACAAGTTGGTTGGTCATAAATGATTCAGAATTGCAGGAACTTAAAAGCTTACTGCAGCAAAAGGTGGGTGGTGGGATTCCAGGTGACCTTCCACACCATGACCCCCAAAATACCTATAACTCCTATAATGAACAAAAACGTCTTTTGTAAAGAGAGATAAAAGATGTGGTGTGTTTTGTTTCGGTTAATGGTTTATTTTACTTCAGGACTATTAAGAAGTGGCTGGCAGGTCAGAGGTTCTCTAAGAATGAAGATGAAGGAAACAAGTGAAGATGTGAAGTGACAGAAGAAGAGAAGAGAAGAGAAGACAGAAGAGAAGCCACATACACAGACTAAGCAAAACATACCCTTAGACTGTGAAGGGCAGCTCTCCCCTTCCACCCTCCTGAACACTTCAGTACACAGCCACTAGGCAGTGCCAAGCAACAAAGGGTGTCTAAGAACAAGCTGGGTGATAAGGGAAGGGCAGACATGTTCAAAATGGCGGTGACGATGACTGGGGACTCTCACATACAAGGAAGCTGAGTAAGTACGTGTCATGAGGATGCTGGCAGGCAAGCCTCTTACTGCCAAGGCAAGAAACTACAGATAGGCTGAGGAGAAAAATGAGCTGAATCTCCTGGTATTAAGAGTGGAAATGAGATATAATAAACTCATGGATTTTAATATATCTGTAAATAAAAACAGAAATACAAATCTAAAGGAAGTGTGTGTCTTTAGCTCTGTGCTAAGAGACGGAGAAGCAGGGACACCCAAATAGTAATACTCTCATTCTAATGCTCAGATCTTCTTTTCTAAATACTGTTATCTCCAGGGTTCCTTGTGGAGAAAGCTGATTCCAGGCCTCGAAAAATACAAGATGAATACATCTTATTTGAAAATAAGAAAGGGTTTAAGAATGAGAGGGACTTCTCCCATCAAGAGAAGGATAAAGAAGACATGATGTCATATATATATACACACACACACACACACACAATGGAATACTACACAGCCACTGAAATGAATGGAATTTTGCCATTTGTAGAAACATTCACAGACATGGAAGGCATTATGCTAACTGAAATAAGTCAGAGAGAGAAAGATAAATACTGTATTTATCAGTATATCACATATATCACTTATATGAGAAACTTAAAAAACAAACCAGTAAGTTAAAAAAAAAAAAAAAGGAAGCTGGCTCACAGATACAGAGGACAAAGTGATGGTTACAGGCTGGGGGGTGGAGGAAGATACACGGCTGCAGGAGGAGGAGGTACAAATTACTGGATATAAGACAGGTTCAAGGATGTATTGTACAACACAGGGAATATAGCCAGTATTTTGAAATAATTGTAGATAAAGTATAACCTTTAAAATTGTATAAAAATTTTTAATTAAAAATAAAGGTTTACACGAAACTAAAAAACAACAATAAATGAAACAAGTGACACAGCTTTATAGGTAGTTTACAGAGTGACTTCTAATACATATTGAGTGAAGAAAATAATGTATAGAACAAAAAAAGAATAACAGGTACTTTTCAAAAGGACACAGAATCAACCTGAAGGGACTTCTAATGGCCAATTTGAGAAAATCTAAGCATAAAAACAAATAAAGTAACTGACTATAACCCACTGAATAAAAAGAAAACCCATGAGTGAGTACATTTAAGATGCACAGACTGACAGATAAATGGATGGATTGATAGGAGGGAGGGAGAGACAGGACAGAGGGAGAGGAAGAAGCAAGTAAATTTTCTGACAGAAGAATACTACACAGCTTCAAAGTTACTCTCAACAGACTGCTTATTAACTACAAGGGGGTAAAGAGCAATTTTACAATAGAGCTATCTGAACAAGTGGTTGACATCAATAGTACTGGTATAAATCAAAATCATGTACTATCTGATATGATGCAATGAGAAGAACACTTCTCACAGAACAACACTATTTTGTTATTCCAAACTGAGAAAGTGTATACAAAATAATTGGCCCACATCTTCAAAAACGTCAAAGTCCTAAAAGCCAAGAAAAAAACTACAGAACTTTTCCAGATCAAAGGAAGAAGAAAACAAAATATAATGTGATTCTGCAATGGATTGGATTCACATAAACAACACTATTGGGCAACTGGCAAAACCTGAGTGGGGTCTAAGGACTGAACAGAAGTATATCAACATTAACTTCTTAACAGTTGTGTAATGGTTAACACAGGAGAACGTACTTGACTGCAGGCAAAATACACTGAAGTACTCATGGGTGATAAAGCACCATGTTGGTAACTGAAACTCATCCACTTCCAGAGAGAAGTTATCTATTCTAATGGATGGGGCAGGGCGGGGGGTTGGGTGAGATGGGGCGAGCCACAGTTCTTTTCCCAGACATTGCCAATCAACTCCATCAGCTCCTTGAAAGTGTTTATCAGTTATCTTAAACAACATGTTATGATCTATACCACAAAAGTTCCTCACAAAAGGTGTGAGGCAAACAGATCTCATTCCAGCAGGGTGGAGCCTAAAGTCCTGCAGAGAACAGTTCTTTCACACTAGCCTGATGCTTTGGCACAATCTAAAGACAGTTGTCCACATCTCCTCTTTATATAACTTCAAACCAAGAAATACAGATTACGAGAGAGAGGAAGGAAAACATCTTCTTTTCCATATTAGAAGGCACAGACCTTTAACTGTGGGGTCATAATCACTAGTCATATAAATGCTACAGATAAATATTTAATTTTCTAAGGAAAACGCTGATTCTATGTGTAGAAATCTACACCTATGGAAGAATCATATTAGACAAGAAGATTCCTTTTTAAAGTTTCATAGCAGAATGATAACTTTCACTTCCTGATAAAGAGTACACTATTCTTTAACCAAACACACAAATGACCTGCAATCACTAGCTAAATTGATACTATGATACAAGAGAGACAGAGAGGCATTTACACTTCATGGCCTAAACAGTGTGTATTTCCTGCCATCTATTCTGTTACAGGGAACTAAAGTCCAAGAGAGTAAGGTAAGTAACAAAGAGGCAGCAAATGGACTCCCTTTCCTTTCTACTAGATTCTTGGGATCCAGTCTACACAGAGTATGAGGTCTGGATCAAATTATTTTCAATATTCATCATACAATATGCTTGCCTTTTAGCAGCTTAGCTGTATGCTCTTGGTCTTTACAAAACATAAATACAAGAATACTTCACCTGAGTAATTTCTATGCGTTCTATGAAATCACAGCTGAAAACATAATCTACTATGTCACACAATGGCAGAATCCACAAAGTAGGTTTTTTGTTGAGTACAATGCCAGGAAAACATCTGTCTCCGTAAACAAATGGGCAGATTTTCTTTCCACAGACAAAATACTATGTAACTCAATGCTACCCAGAGAAAGGAAGAGCTCCTTGATAGTCTTGGCAGCCAGGAAACATATCCAATGTGGTGAACAACACTTAGACTGGCTCCCCCAGTAGGAGTCTGGTGGTGGTAGGTGTTCAGTCACTCAGTCAGGTCTGACTCTGCTATCCCATGGACTGCAGCACACTCACTTCCTTCACTCTCTCTCGGAGTTTGGCAAACTTACATCCATTGAGTTGGTGATGCTATCGAACCATCTCACCCCTCTGCCATTCCCTTCTCCTTTTACTCTCAATCTTTCCCAGCACCAGGGTCTTTTCAAATGAGCCAGCTCTTCACATCAGGTGGCCAAAGTACTGGAGCTTCAGCATCAGTCCTTCCAATAAAAATTCAGGGTTGATTTCCTTTAGAATTGACTGGTTGGATCTCCTTCCTGTCCAAAGCACTCTCAAGAGTCTTCCCCAGCACCACAATTCAAAAGCATCAGTTCTTCAGTGCTCAACCTACTTTCTATGTCCTTCTCAGATGGCTTATTTTGCTTTTATATTTAATTATCCTGCTGTATACCATCTTTAATTCTGCCAGCAGGTTTAATCTTGAAATTACTCAGTATATGTATGTACCTATGTATTTTACTTTCTAGCTCTTAAAATTTTTCCTTCTGATATCTCTCATATTTTCTGGTATCATTTTATACTAAACAATCTAAAAATTTTTTAACAATATTAACATCAAGAGGCTAATTTAATAAGGATCAAGTAGTCTGCATCATTAACTCCCTTTGTCCTTACCCCCAACAAACCATGGGGTGGCCCGGGGGAAGGCAAGAACATCACCTTTGCAGTAGTCTGCGGGGTCTTCCTGCTCCTCATCGTCTGACCCCAGAATCTCCTCCTCTGGCTCTGGCGGGGCAGGCTCTGGCAGGGGTGGTGGCGGTGGCGGCGGTGGCGGTGGAGGAACCAAGGGAGCTTTCTGCTGAGGCTCCGGCCTGAAACCAGAGGAAGGAGAATTCCTATTTACTCAGAAGGAAATCCTGCGTTATGGACACACTTAAGAGTTTCTTAATATGGAAAAAAATGTAACTTTTCACACACTAAGAAGAGATGCTGATTAATGTTACTTCATTTTAGGTGAATTCAAGTAAAGTTTCAAATCACAAGAGGGCTACCCTTGGCTATCCTATTAGCCGAGGAGTATTTTTGCAGGCACATTTTCACTCAGAGCTTCAATATTTCTTAAGTCTTCATATATTAATACCATGAATTGTAAGTGAAATAAGACAATCAGCTCCCCATGACACACAACCTTATTAGTTAGAACACATTCCCCAGAGATTAGAAAAAAAGAAGACAACAATCCTGGACATTAAAAAAAAACACAACAGTTTATTATCCGTCATTTTTAAATCAAAATTCATTTACCCATTGAAACCATAGAAAAGTGGTTAGGATTCTTGGATAACTCATAAAAGCCAACTAATGTTTACTGTAACTGACACATAGATATTTTCATTAGACAATTCAGTTATCTATCAACCTTACTTATCAAGACAAGAACACTGTTCCAAACTGGAAATTAAACAAAGAAAACACGTGAATGTAGTCTAATACAAATACAATTCATACATCAATGCAAAGTTTCCATGGGTCATTTCTGATTGTCACATAAAAGCTAAATATTTAGTATACTCTTTTACAAAAGATAGAAAAACCTCTAACACTAAAAAGAAGCAAAAAACTTAAGAGGTTACAGATGTAAACCTTTCAAATATCTAGAATACCTCAAGAATATATTAAATTTGCTCAAAAATAAAGCATTCGTAATGCAACTCTACAAAATGAAGTTTCCACTTATAAAATTTAACTGCAATTTCTAGCCATATCCCAATGGGAAATCTTGAACCTCAAGACTCAACTGGATGCAGAATGTCCCTTGAGTTGCAAGCTACCCTAACAACAGGACCATTGCTCTCCCTGAGCTGGCCACAGCTCTACAGGTATAAAGCGGGGAAGGAACGGATACCAAGTAACAGGGACAACGGGCTTTGGCTGTTAAACTGGTCCCCAGAGACAGGTTCAGTGGGATAGGTAGAGGGCCTCTAGTTTGGAGAGCAAGGAGAACTTCACAGGCACCAATGTGGTAGATAACCACCATTTTTTTGGAGGGAGCGGGGCTGCCCTGTACTGATACCCCCTTTCTAAAAGCACCTTTTAGAACACTGTTACTCCTTGCACAATGAAAGTGAAAGTGAAGTCACTCAGCCGTGTCCGACTCTTTGCGACCCCATGGACTGTAGCCCACCAGACTCCTCTGTCCATGGGATTCTCCAGGCAAGAATACTGGAGTGGGTTGCCATTTCCTTCTCCAGGGAATCTTCCCGACCCAGGGATCAAACCCAGGTCTCCCGCATTGCAGGAAAGGCTGACTCTAAATCCTCTCTCTTCACCGTGGTGCAGCCTAGGGCATAGAGCCCTGGAAACCTGCTTGAGAAGGTCAGCCATCATAGGGTGCAAGCTCATTCCAGCTTCTAGCAAGAGGCAGAGCCAGAGGAGCTGCCCCCTTTTAAGCTGAAACTCTAAATTCTTGCCAAATCTAAGATAGGCCCCAAATAGCCTTTATTACGTTGCCTTCAACCTAAGGTAGTTATAGCTCATATGTGGTTTGTCACCAAAAACTCAAAAGTGCCACAGCAGATGAAGGAAGGCAATAGAAACACCAGCAGTCATAAGGATGGGGTCGGGGGGGGGGGGGGGCGGGAATCACACCCCACAGTAACCTTAAAGGCCAACAATGGCAAGTATGATTACCTCTGAAAGGACAACTAAGGAACATTTATAATCTGACAATGACTAGCACTGACTTCTACTTGCTAGAATTTATGAAGACTCAAAGTTACAGCTCCCTGGGTAACAGACATTAGGACAATGGTGGTGATAACATTCTGAGTTAACTGTGTCTCATGATGGAGCACTGAAAGGAAGTCATCACAACCAAACACCCACATCTCTGACAGAACATCCAAAAAAAACCCCAGGAGACCTTATGGAAGTGCAATCATCCTTCTGGCAGCTTTGCAACTGCTTATTTTCTTTTCTAACAGACACGACTTTCTTTAGTGAAAGTAAAATGGTTCCAGGGAAAAGAGGTCTGAGGAAGGGGAGATAAGGAGAGGAACTTCACCAGTTTCACCACTTCCCAAAGAGAAGAGGTTAGAGAAAAGGAGGCATGGATGGAATCTATCTGACAAATTGGCTCAATCAGAAATACCTTACAAGTTGACTGCTTCTTCCTTAGAAATTTTATATGAAAGAAAAAAGAGATTCTCTAAATTTAAAAAACAAAAACAAAGAAAAAACACCACCACCTGTTACCTGTGGAGACTATGTAACTATTAGTAAAACTGAAGGATCTTGTTTCACTGATGCAGGGTACTGCTATGCTCAACACCACTGAAACTTGGGCCAGATGACTCACTGTTGTGGGTGCTGCTTCATACTCTGTGGGATGCTATCAGCCTGGTCTCAAGCCACTGCATGACAGTAGTGATCATCAAAACACATCAAGACAAAGCTATCCTAAATGTCCATCAACAGAGGAATGTGGTACATATATACAGTGAAATATTACTCAGCCAAAAAAAGGAATGAAATAATGCCATTTGCAGCAACATGGATAGACCTAGAGATTTTCATACTGAGTGAAGTCAGTCAGACAGAGAAAGACAAATATCATGATACCACTTACACATGAAATCTAAAAAACGGGTATAAATCAAAATATTTACAAAACAGAAGTAGAGTCATGAACACAGAAAACAAACTTACAGTTAGCAGGGGATGTGGGGAGGGTGGAGATAAACTGGGAGACTGGGGCTGACATATACACACACCACTACATATAAAATAAGTAACTAAAAAGAACCTGCTCTATAGCACAGGAAACTCAACACAATATTCTGCAATGTCCTACACAGGAAAAGAAACTAAAAAAAGAAAAGGGTGGATTTATGTATAACTGGTTCACTCTGCTGTAAACCTAAAGCTAACACAACATTGTAAATTAACTGTGTTCCAATAAAAATTTTTTTTAATCATCAAAAAAACATGTCCAGACATTGACAAATCCAAGGATGCGGGGGCAAAATGATGCCCATGTAAGCATTTCTCAGTAGTATTTGTTATACACAGCTGTACTGCAATGGAGTACATTGTATCTGTGATATGGGAGGAAAGATTCTAATTTTCACAGGCCCATTTCATCTAGTTTGAGAGGCTTAGGTATCTTTAGCATAATACATGTCTCTCAATTAAATTAGTCATGACCCATTTGGCAAGCTTGCCATATCACTTAACAAAATTCTCAGACCCTCTGGTCTCAGGGAGGGTCACATTGAACAGCAGGCAGACAGTTACCCAAAAGCCAGTCCTATCAAGTTAAAGGGATGAGTCAGGGTACCCTGAAACACAGAGGAAGTTGAGTAATGTTCATGTAATATCTTGACCAGCTATCACATCAAAACATCGAGAACTGTGCTGTCTTCTGGCCCCAGGTGGGTGCTGAACACTCAAAATGTGCCTTGTCCTAACTGAGATGTGCTCTAAATGTAAAATATATACTGAATATCCAAGATTTAGTACAAAAAGTGAAATACTTGAATAATTTTATACTTATTACATGTTAAAATGTTTTAAACATAAATCATTAAAATGAAATTCAGCTACTTTTTACTTTTTTAATGTGGCTTCTAGAACTCTTTAAATTACAAATGAGGCCCACATTACATTGCTACTAGATGGTACTAGTCTAGACCCTCAGATTCAACAGCAGCAGAGGAGTTGCTTGGCAATGGTCACGCCAGTGAATATTTCTTTCTAAGGTGTCTCCCAGTAATCTGCTTCACACTAATAATCACCAATTCTCAAATTACCCAGTTCATCATAGTAAGGTCAATATACTGTAATTGCCAAATGTTACAGCCCAATCACTGACGCCTTTTCATCCCATCCAGCCTTGTTACTGCCTACCACACAGGAAAAGCATAACAATTTGTCTCAGGGCAACTGTACAGAAGAGAAAATGATGCCACATTGTTCTTAAGGCCGACTTCTTCAGAGTGGTCTCTGGTGGTTTCCACCACACTTAAAAGCTTGGTTAAAATCTCAACTGTTAAAAAAAAAATCAAGAGATGATCTCATCAAGTGCATAATCACGAAATACATCAAGTGACATTAAAAAAATTTCATTAATCCTACTGACAACCATCAAGACATTATTTCAAAAAACAAACTGAAAAAATTATTCAGAATTACTAGGGAAGTTCCCTGGCAGTCCAGTGGTTAGGACTCAGCACTCTCAGTGCTGTGCCCTGGTTTCAATTCCTGGTTGGGGAACTAAGACTCTGCAATCCATGCGGTGGCCAAAAATTATTAGAAGCATGTCAGATGCAGTGGGGGAGGGGTAGGACAGGACATTAATATTTTCAACATCAGTGCCAACAAAACTAAACGGTGAAAAAATACTCTTTTCAACAAATGGTCCTGGGACAAATAATTATCTGTATATAAAAACAAACAAACAAACCATACAAAAACACCTGTGTGAGGCCTACCACACATAAACACATAATATTAACTCAAAATGAATAACTTGTGGGAAAAAACGGGTAAATCTCAATCACCTAAGGCTAGGCAATGTTTCTTAGACATGATACTAAAAGCATAAGCAATTTTAAAAGATAAATTTAAAAATTAAGGAAAAGAAACAGAACAGATAATTCTCCAAAGAAGATATACAAATGACCAATAAGCACATGAAAATGTGTTCTACATCATCAATCATTTGAGAAAGTGAATTCAAAACTATAATGAGATAATATAATACTTCACATCCTACTGGAAGGTTATAATAATAATAATAAAAAACACAGTAACAAGTACTGTCAAGAATGAAGAAACTGAAGCCCTCGTATGTTGCAGTAGGAGTGTAATA